TGTTTCTTTGATGCTATACCTCTTTAAGAATGCAATTACGTAGTGTGCGCACCGCTTACTATGAGTTACAGTGTATTTATCACAGCATTTTGCTGTTTTTTAAGAAAATGAGATTTGCTGTAAAAGTAAGCAAACGAGATTTTGCTTGACGATGATATAATAAAACTACTGTATTGATAAAAACAAAGCTACCGATCCTGAACGTTTGATGACGAACATTTCAATACTGTTGCTGTGTCTTATTATGTAACGTAAATACGTTTCTGTTCAGTGTAATGTGCAGAAAGTGTGGATGTATTTTTGTCCGTAGAAAATTGAATGCCATCACGTTTTAACAGGATAAGACGTTCGCCTGTACGCGCAAAAGAATAATGCAACCAATAATGAAAAGAGACGAGCGAATAGGGAAAGCTTTTCTGGAATAAAGAGAAGCATCTTAAGCATTTTCTCGATGATAACCTTTCGGGATAAATATTAAGTGAAGACCTTTTGCTGGCGAATTTACGAATTGCATGATAGAAAAGAAAAGTCTGTTCTCGACAGCGTTTAAAGCAAAAATAGTCCGGAAAATCGATACCTATTATCTTTCTATTATATGTGGGCGAGATATTAGGTATATTTTATTATCATGAAATTTGAAAATAATATTTCGTAAGAAAATTTGTGAAAATAATATGCGTTATACACATCCTTCTCGACGTACACTTGCATTTTAATGAGCTCTGTTGCAATCTAGCTAAGGTTCTAAATTCTGAATTAAGCAAAAAGGTACTGCAATTATTCGCGGTTAATATTTCAACCCTTAATATGACCTGTCGCTCGACGAAGCACGGACGTTTCCTAGTTTCTAGATATATAGAGATACAGCATTAACCGCAAAAACCTAATTAGTTCGTTTCATGTTCGTCGTAGCTGCATCAAGGTCAAGTGCTTCGTGAAATAATTTGTGATTCCTTTCGTAGGATTATTCTCATTGGGATTTTCCCCTTATTCTCATGGCGATACTTAATGGGGTCCTTTATAACTAGTCGTTTTCTCGTCGGCGTTTCCTTGAAGGCGTTTTCCTGTCGCATTGTAGAAATACCCGACGTGAGAATAATTCAAATGACGACAGAGAGAGAGAGAGAGAGAGAGAGAGAGAGAGAGAGAGAGAGAGAGAGAGAGAGCTTTACCTTACACTACCTACCAGAATAAATAATTGCCACAAAATTGGAAATCAGGGATCAAATTGTTAGAAAAATGGAAAAAAAAACGGTTAGAGAATTAAGGAAAGGTCAGAGAATTTTGTAAAATTTTCTTGAAAATAAAAATCCTTGGCTTTAAAGAAATTTAATATACATATATCATAAATCATTTACCTACGTAATTTCGAAATATCTACTATACTCAACTTGACAATTAAAAATGCAAGCAATGTAGCATTAGTAATTTACATTACTATGTTAAATTGATCTCTCAACAAAATATTTAACGATTTCTAAATCAGAATGAAAGTACAGAAAAATTTTTTAATATTATTAAAAATCGGAGAAAATCATGAAATTTTATTTGAAAATTATGGAATTTTAGGATGAAAAAAATTAATTGTGACAACTCTATCTGTTTTCTTTCTTACGATAAAAAAAAATTGTGTCTTATTCACCATCGCCTTTTTCTTTCAAGAGTGACTTTCTCCTAGTAGTACTTCGCATTACCAGATCAATGTACCTCAACGCTGGTAGGTAATGATAACAGCAATATTTTTGCGTGGGTTATCGAGTGCTGAAGAAATTAACTGGCGATCCAATCTCTGAGTTTTTTTTATATCTACAATAATGTCTGCTTCCGACGCGATCGATTCTACAGAGTGCGGCCGACAAAATCGTGTGAAAATTCATTTGAAAAGGATTTGCCGCAGAATCTACGCTGTAAACTCGATTTCACTTCGGTGTCTCTGTCGCGAATTCATCGGAATAAATTTTCGCCGAAACACTTTACATTCGTTGTCTGCGCATCGTGTAAGCATCCATTCAATTTCATCGCATTTACCGAAGCTTGTTGTAGTATATAAAGCTCCACTGTAATATATTTAATGATCTAGATAAAAGCTTCCAGTGAAAATCGATCGAAACGATATCCGAGCAGGTTACAATACCAGTATTTCTATCTCAATGGGCGCAATGCTTACATTCTGGTGAGAGAGATTTTCTCTCTCTCTCTCTCTTCTCTCTGCCTATTTCCATCATACCATAGTGTATTGTCGAGGTCTCAGATTGCCTCGTTCACGATAAAGCATATTATCATTTATCAGGGAATATACCTGTAGCCGATCGAGTGCAATGCTCCATTGGTGTTTCCCCGCGGACGAAATGTCACTTGGAAACAGCCTTGTAACGATATCGCCCGCGGAATGTCGGGCTTCTCGTTGTCGCGCAAGCAATAATATGCGTAATATTTGCATTAGCCTCTAATGTATCCGTCGAAAATTAGTTCTATGCGATAAATCCATCGGTGTATGACGTGCGCTGTTCGCGGTTATCGGCGATTGCCATCGACATCGGACGATCCCTCCTGCGTTCTATTCCTGGCATAAAAACGAATTTTAGGATTTACGACCCGAGCACCTTCCGATATCACGTAGCGTCTGTCGGTGACATCGGACGATCGAAATTTTTATCATTTTTATCATTTTTATGTTCTTTTTTTTAATCGGAGGAATGTTGCTTGCAAAATGTCTAAATCTTCGAGAAATATTGTATATCGTCATTTTAGGATAAGGACTCTTGGGAACATATAAAAAACATTGAATATATAGAGTATCTCTCGCAGAACGAGCTTTTAATCATTCTACGTTATTCGTGACTCTGGATGTTGTCTTCGAATAATGGCTTTTTTTCTGGAGCACAATTGAGAAGAAATGAGCATACGTTCCTTTTCGAAGAAAGCAATGTTCTATGACTAGCAGTTTTTCTGTATTCAGCTTTCGAACTTAAGTTCCTTGAAGCAATTATTCATTTCGCAGAACGTGAATTTATCGTAATCGATTTTGAGATTGTTTGGTTTGAAAAGTAACTAAGTTTTTAATCGAAATTTATGAGAATTTAAGAGGTCACTCAGAATGTTACCAATGCAATCGCATTAGTTCTGATGTCTTTAGAGTTCACGATTTTTTGCATCAGTTTTGATTATTTTGAATAGACAGTTCCTTCCTTCAACTAAGAGAGAATTCATTTTTTTCCGATCTGATTAATTATAATTGAATTAAAAGAAAAAAAAGGAATAATTGGGCTTGCGGTGATGATAAAAAGGACGGTGAATTATGCATTCCGTTGAGAATGTAATTCTGTGAATAGCGTTAATTCAAGAGGGAAGTCGCTTTGGAAAATTAGCCCGGTATTTTCCAGCTCGCAGATTGAATTGCACTTCTCCGACATTATCGCAAAAATGTTCTTATTCTATTTGCCCATTTCTCCATGCATTTCCATTATTGAATACGTCGTTATATAAGATAACTAATAACTATTCAACAAAAAAATAATTTTTTTCAAATACTAAAACAAGATCAGTCAATTTAGTTTTCTGGATGCTGAATACCACAAATTTGTTTTCTAAATTGCTCCATTAAATCACAATTTTGAAAAATTTGCAACTTTAGTTGCAAAAAGGGACCATTTTCACGTATTTTGTCATGTTATAATTACGATATGCTGAAGAAGTTTTATTACAATCAATTGTTAAATATATTATTAGGACTTTCAATATACGGCTATGGTTAGTAAATTATTCACAGGTAATAATATAAAACAGTCAAGGACTCTTAAAAATTCAATAACAATATTCTTATTTGCCTGTTTTATCGTTGTATTGTTATTTACAGCTAAATATAATATAATGTGAAACCTATTGCGGAAAAGCTGTGAATTAGGTCATTGACGATTCCAGATATCTTTCAACGAATTCGATATCAAAATTAAATAAATTCAAAGTGATGAAATTCAATGTAATGGAATATGTCAAAATTTGAAAATATTCGAATTATTGCAAAAATTTATATATAAACTTTTATAATTTTGAATTATAGATTATTCGATAAATGATTTATAATTAATAATTATTCCGTAATAAAGACCACATTTAATTAATCAATGTTTAGCCTGAATAGATTAACATAAATATCTTGTTAATCAAACCGATACTAAAATATCTTTTTGAGGACTAAAAATCCTATATTCAATATATCAATATACTTCAGCATATTCAGTCATATATTATAGTTAGAAATATATGAAAATAGCTTTTTGTTTGCAATATCTACTGATAACAGTTGGATTAAGTCATAAATAAAGAAGTTGAGATTTGTTGGACTATGTAATTGGATCTTAGTGACAAAGTTTCACCTCGTCTAATCGCAGGAGAGGTGACGCTAGATCGTAAATGTTTATCTTTCTCGTTTTTCTTGGCTGACTTTCGACGTCAGATTGATCCCCGTCATTACAGCTTGAGACTTGCTTCCGTTTCGCTATTAACCCTTCTTAAATCCCGTCATATAAGGCGCGCCCACGTTGTACTTACTTTAATACACGCTGGGGACTTCTCTAGATGAACAGAAGAAGGAAATATATTTTTCAAGGAGCGAATATCGATCCAAGTGGAGTTTCAGCAGAAGTTTTAGTGAACTAAAAGTGAGAATATACTTGAGCGAGGGGAAGAAAGATAGCGTTCATACGGAAGTTAGGAAGCCACTATCTTTGGGATTATTATATTTGATATAGCTAAGGATCAGCGATAATTCGTGCTTAAGCAGGACGATTAGCGTTGATGGGATATATCTCTTGTTCATTGATGATAACATCACGATTTGATAACATCACGTCTAGTATAATAGTAGGTGGAGAACTTAAGCGATATTGATCTAATTAATATTGACTATCGCGATATAATGCTGTATTATCTTTCATAATTCATTTTCAAGAGCGTATTATTCCAAAAAAAAAAGAGAGAAGAAAAAAGAAAGGACTTACCGATCAATGGATATCGCCATCAATGTAAAGACGCTGGCGCATATTGTGAGAACCGCGATGAATTGGGAAATCTTGCAGTAGAGCGTTCCAAACGGCCAATGGCTGTTGAGCATGTACGTGTAATTGAAGGTGACATTCAAGGTGGATACCATGGCGTCCGCGATACTGAGATTCACCAGGAAGTAATTGGTGACGGTGCGCATCCGCCTGTGCGCCAGTACGATCCATATCACTATTAAATTGCCACCGGTCGCCACGGTGATCATGCCGGCGAACAGAAGCGTCCAAATCATCTGCCGCCACCACGGCAGCACGAATTGATTCCGCGGCGCCAAATCCGTGTAATTGGTACCGTTGTGATAGGTGTCATTGTCGAACCACAGGGTTGTCACGTTCCAGAGGTGAGACGTGGAATTGTACGTCATCAAGTCGTCGAGGCTCTGCATCACGAATATCACGGTCTCCCTTCGCTTATGTTAAGCTAGTATAAAAGCGAAAAGCCGTCGCCGTTTTCACCCTGCTATTCAACCGCCACCGCTACCCGCCTTTCCGTTTGCAATTTTGTGTCTCACAGCGTCTTTCTTATCTCGCCTTGAAGTGTGCTGAGCTTTCGCCCGGAGCGCACAATCTTCATTCCCTCGTTTACACTTCCGTTACTCGCTATTCTTTTTTCTCTCCGAGATGAGCCAAATTTTTGGTTCGAACTGATTTTTTTTTTTTATAATCTCTAACAGTTATGACAAATATATTGGGATCATCATTCGTCAGGGGTGTTTGCATTGATTTATCTCTTTCAAAAGCCGAATATTTTCGGAATACTTCGGTGCTCATAAAATTCAATTGTCGCTTTATTTAAGGGATAGAAATTTGATACAGGTAGAAACCGGCGTGGTTGTCGTCTTTCAAGGCAAGTAACTTACACATTCTTGTCGACCGCGCATACCAACCGACCAAGTCGGGCGAGCTTTCATAACTCTGACGTAACGCCGTCGTACGAGATTTTCGTCGTACTTGTTCTCGTGCGATAGAAGGGCACGTTACAGTCGAGGCACCATGACAATTTTCAAGTTCTTTGCATTCTCTTTTCGTCGTCACGAGGTAAGTTTCTAAATCGAAGAGCCGAGGAACATCCATCGGTCGTATTCGCGCTGCTGCCACTGCTCGTAAATTCTGTTTCACGCTCGCCTGGTGTCACCAATTCTCTCAATCAGGGTCGATCTTTCGTGAGAGTGCGTCAACTGCCGGCGCGAAAAACACGAGCTTTTAATCCTGGCGTATCACATCGCGTTGAATCGCGCATCGACAAATCGTGCTTCTTTCCGTCTGATCGATCTTGGGAAAATCGCAGCGACGCACGGGATGAATCTATTTTGCGGATGAACACGTACTCTTTGTAATCGTTCGCGGGGAGAAGTCATAGTCGCTTGATTAAGGAAATCGTTAATTTGATCCCCTTATCCATTTCTTGTATGATGTACTTTCGACCACTTATCGATTACGCACCGATGTACTTTCACGCGACAAAACATTTCGTTACTTCCACCGCGGTTTTGGTGGCATGTCCGTCAATATTGGCACAATTACTATGTGCTTTCACCGATTAAATCGTGGGGTAACGTTGTGACACTGTCGACTGACAGTTCTCGACTCGACGTCCGAACTCGCTTCCACTTACGTTTCATGCACGGACGCTCTCCGCAAAATCCGATCGTTTCCCAAACCGCCGATCGGCTGCCACCGAATGAGATTCCATTGTCCTCGCGGCTTATTCGCCGTAGATGAGTACACTTTTTTTCATCGATATTCGAAGCCTCGATATAATTGTTCTCTTCTAGTCGTTACTACAGCGAATTTTCGCGTATCGATTTGTTTCTTTTTGCACAATCAGAGATCAGGAATCGATGATGATCATTCTAATCTCTCAGTTAAAGGAAAAGACTGATGGTTTTCTGGTCTATAAGAAGAGTTTTGTGTTTAATTTTTCCGTCGATATTATTCGAATCTTCAATATAATTATTCTTTTTTTGAAAACGTAGTTGTTAGTGCAGCGAATTTTCGTATCGGCTTGACTCCTTTTGCACAATCAGAGACGAGATTAAAAATCGATAATGATTACTTTAATCTCTCGGTTAAAGAAAAAGACTGTTCTCTGGTCTATAAGAGAAGGTTTTGTGTTTAATCTTTTCGACATTGCTCCAACATTATGTCTCGTTTAATGATCATTAAAGTTGATGTTTTGTCGTGAAATTTGCTCGTCGGTTTACGATGAAACAGTTTTTGCATATTAATTTCTCGTCCGAGCATCAAGAAAACTGTCTCTGGAATTCGCGAGTATATTCGTTGTTTCGCGTTTTGTCCTGGAAGGAAAGTACCGCCTGGTCTGTCGTATGATGAGAACTTTCAAAGAGACCAAGATTTTGCGATTACTTCCATCATTCTCACTTTGCTTGCTCATTACTCAGCGTTCTTTTCATTGTACGTTGTATCACGCATCGTACAATTAGCTCAGCTAAGCTTTCTTACACAAATGGAAAAGTTACGTTCTAGGCCGATCTTTTACGATTTTGTATGTTTTATGGTCGATTACGTGAACGAAAGCTTTCGCATCACGTCGCTAATAAAATCTTCCTGCAGCAGGAAATTCGTGTTATCGTCAACTTCTCGCCGGATCACGTGCGATGTTAAGGACACACCTTTCGTTAGCTTCGCGTACTCAATTAAGCATTGACATTACCTGGAACTGAATCTTCGTTTAAGAGAGTTCACGGAATTTTCGCTTACGCTTGGTACGCCGTTACATTACGTCAGTCATCGTTTCTGTCGTCCGACGCACCTAGAATTTTAAAATACATCTGATTCGCGCGTTTTTCTTCATTCCTCATACCTCGCAATCCTTCCCCGGTGCTATTAGAACGAATTGAGAATTTCACTTCGATATTCCGTGAACGCTTCAGGTGATCTTCTTAATTTTCAATTGAACGTGTTGTATCTCAACGCGATTATCGTGTGAATAAAATTGTTCGTTTATAACCGAGAGCACTTTTTAAAGAAAAGTGGTGAGAGACAGAAGGTAGATCGCGTTGCACCTTTCCAGGAAGTTCCCAGAACGTGTCGGAAGAAAGTTCGTTCCGCGCTCGCAGGATCGACATGAAAATTCCTCAAGAACAACGTAACTGGTCCCGGGATATATTATCTGTAAAACTTGGAGGAAAGTCTTTTCTTTCAGTCTGACGGAAAGTTTCTACAAGAATTGTTGTCGATGAGACGAGAAAGATAAGTCCTTTTTCCAACGTCGGCAAAATGCCACTCATAAGTCGGACATTCTCGTGGAGGATAAGAATTTACGTCGTGACGTCTATTTCAAGCACGACGGAGTACCCGGTATATTAACATATCCCACTCACAAAATTCCGCATTCATTTAGCCTCTTCGTATGACGTGTCCTTATATTGACGAATTCCTCCATTGTGGTGCCATCTTGATCTGAAAAATACATTACAAGATCGAGATCATTCTTTAAGTTCGAATCAAAAATCTAATGCTACTTCCGCGACAGAGTGGGAACGAGAACGCAATGAATTATCGCGCGATTTGTCCGCTCTACGTCGAATGGAAACGCTCGGTCTACACGTGGGAAAAAACTCGGGAAATGTGAATGTACGGTGGATGAAATCTGTGAAATTTCATCCGTCTCGTTCGGGATATCGATAAAAAAGGAGATATGGATCGAGAAGCACGTTCGCATTAGGGAGGCGCGGAAGAGAACGTGCTGATTACGAAAGCCGTTGAATTTCCCAAAGGAATTTAATTATAAAATCGGACCGTAGTACATCGCGTCGATCGTCTCGATTAAGATGTCGGATGGGATTGTGTTTCGTGTACCCTCAGATAATTATTCCACGCGATTAATATTATCCTTTCCAATTTGTCGTTTAATCGACTGCCATTGAATAAAATTGTCGGCGAAAAATCGTCTAGCAACAAAATTATTTTGTTGGACAACTCCCTCGTAAAACAACACTTATTTATGACGGTCATCTTTATTGTACCCTTTCAATTTGATATCACTATTCTACCTGCACGTATATTGCGCAATCCGTTTAATTTTCCTTTGTCTAACGGTGGGATATCATTTACTTAATTGCGCCGTAGAACCTTGTTATTCTTTCTATTATTCGTGTTATCTACGGTAAGCTCTTTGTATATTGTAAAGTGGAATATTATTTCCGTACAGGAAAAATAGAAACAGCTGTATTCTCTTCTTTGGACGGGATAATAGTTGATATACGATAATTGATATTATTCTAAAAGAGTATTTTCCTCGGACACGCGATACACTTTTGTGCTCTTTATCTTTGTCGAGTGCCGAATGATTTGCGATTACGTATATAAATAAACAATTAACACAATGTCATGGCTTATTTCGAGTTATAATTAAATTAACTTTAAATTAATATAATTAACAATTTATTAATTATATTAATTTAAAGTTAATTTAACTATAGCTCGAAATAAATCATGACATTGTGTTAATTTTTTTAAGGAAATATACGAGCATTTTTTATTCCATAAATAAAAATGTACGACGTTAGAATTGAGATTGTTTTCGCTTATAACACGATATTTCGCGATAGTCTCAAATTAATACGTTCATTCGCATTGTTTGCTCACGAAATGCGCTTTATTGCATGATTTGTTTGGTCCGATTTAATGCCGCTTATCGGGGTGCATTATATATATATATATATATATATGTCGTTAACATGCGCGTAAGAACGAATTGTTGTTGAAACATCTCGCGGAAAAATTACGTGAAACTTGATATGTAAGAATGATTTCCCTGAAGTAGAAAATCTAATAATCGGCGTCATAAATAGTTTCATTGTCGCAATCGTGGTAAGCAACTGCAAGATTAAGTGCGAAATTATGCGAATGCTGAGACCTTTTTGCTTATACACGCGTACATTTGAATAACGTCGCGCTATGTAAATTGTAACCAAACCGCACCACCATTGGTAATAATTACTTTGGATTGTTAGGTTAGTGTAAAATCAGAATTTATGCGGTTTGCCTTCAAATGAACAACAGATTAAAGAAACATTGTATCGAAAACATTTGTTATTCGCATTATCAACGTATTATAAATGTACTAAAATATGCAGGTCTTATTTTTGTTTATTTTTGCACCATACACGCAATGCATTAATTTCTAGATTATTATTTACATTCAATATGTTTCCCAAACATTTGTTTCCTCTCTCGTATCCGATAACTGTTGCGCTCACATTCTGATATTTCATATTCCATGTAGCTCGATACTAATCGGAATTAATTGGTCGGATACCAAATATGTTCTCTATTCTCTCGTTGTCGCATTGTTCACACAAACCGCTCAATAACGTGGGTAATTCGTCGAAGAGTTCTTAAACTATGCGTGCACTACGATTACTGCGGTATGTGTTCTGACTATCCTCCGATTGCACGTGCTGTTCTGTGGTAGAATGAGTGAAATGGAACAATTAACGTTCGAATGTTGTTCCTGAATCTGAAAATAGCTGACGATCGATATATAAGGGGGTGTCGGCGAAGTAGAGAGAGGTGGTAGGTAGAGAGAGGGCGAAGGGCGTCGTGACGTTTGTGGCATTCGTGACAATGTATGCGACTTCATGTTCTCGTAACATCCACAAACTAGCTGTGAGGAGATCCTCTCTTCAGGCTTTAGGCGCTTGGTGAATTAGTAGCTCGGATTAAAAGCAAATTGTTCCATAGACTGTAAAATTGCATTTACACAATTACTCTAATTTACCGGACTATGTGTTCGTAACAATGCTATAGTGTAGTTAATAGCGAATTGTATCTCATTTATTGCAATGAAGTATGTTTGTATTGTAGTACACGCGATGTCCTAAAAACATCGCTTGTAATTATTTATCCGCGTCTCCTTTTGGAATGCATACTTATGAATTTTAAATTAATATTGCCTAGAGGTTTTCGTTAAAAATTCAATTAAGAAATTGAACATTTAAATAACCGTAAAGAAAATCCATCTCTTTTGGGTCAAGATATAGCGTTTTTCTTAAACACTACTTATCGATATATCATTTTTTTTATTGTAATAAAAATTCCATTGTGTCGAGGTGATACTCTTCGTGTATTCGTAAATATTCAATGAAAATGCCATATCGTGCTAGCGGTCACCGTGCAGTGAAAAAAATGTAGAATTTATGCATAGCATTGTGTGATAACATACGATAACGGATGAACGTGCGAAAAGAAATATCGGGCCTGAAAATTGAACGTGAGACTTTCATATTATAGCGTTAAGGTAGAAAGGAAAATGGGGATGTAGCCGCAGAAAAACGAGTGAAATTGCCTCTATAGGATGCAGCTAGTGTGCTTCGAGGATGGTACATGCTGGTACAGTGCCGTGAAGTATGCAAATTGTGAATCACTCTGGACCACACAACTGATTACGCCGCACAGAAAGAACCTTTTGCCCTTCTTCCACCGGAAGAGCCAATATTCTGCAATTGAACGAATAAGCGTATTCGTTATTCGCGTGGAATCGAATCGTTTGGAACATGCGATCTCATGGATTCAGGATTTTGAGCGAAAAAGAGCTATTTTTTTATCTTAATCGTAATTTTTATCAGATTTTATTGCAAATTATATTATTATACGATTTTTATTAGATATACCGTTTCGAAATAACATAACAATTTTAGGATGATAATAATTAAAGAGAAAACAAGTAAATAAGTAAACAGTTTAAACATATATGTAGGATAACTCCGGCAAATACGCCGCGCTGGGATTTACGCCGCACAAGTCAGAAAAAATAGAATAGTGGAGGTAATTTTCCCGCAATTACTCTGACATATGTCTTTATGTTATATTAGTATTATGTTATGATTTCAGCTTCTTACTATTAATATTAATGAAATTATTGTGAGTTGAATCGATTTGTCTGTAAAATAACGCCATCATAAATTATAATCTACATAAAATGATTATTGTAGGGCATGTAAAAGATTTAGTGGTTATTTCGCGATACATACGTGTAGTGGAATAGTAAAGCAAAATACAAATATTTTGCTTTTGTATTCTTTGTTTAGTTTATTGTCTTGTATATCTCACCTGTTTGAGATATATTTTTAGCGAGCGGGATTTATCCCCAAAGCATACAAAGTGCAGATTGAATTCAGTGCACTAAATGCAATAAACGCATTATATGAAATATGTATCTCATAACACTTGCAATATATGTAGAAAGATTGTAATTATTTATTATTTATTATTATTTATTACTTCATATATATATTTACCATTCTTATTCCTTAATAAAACTTCATAAACACATTTTATAAGTTATTGTATCATTATACGTCTTACTTATATGCATTGTTTGTAAATTTTTCATGAACCATACATCTCTCCTATGTAGCCATTCCTATGGGATATACGGCAAAAATACAAGGGTTTCAAAATAGGGTTTTTTAATATGAAAAATAAATATTACGAATTTCTAATATTTTTTTCATAGTAGTAGACCGTACAAAGTTTTTACTGATATAGTTCGTTTACTATAAATATAGTAAATAATACTTAATAAATTAAGTTTTTGATAGGTATATATATCGGAGTTACCCTATAATATAAAATAAAGAACAATAAATAATAATTCACGAGGCATTAGGAATCGGCACTGGAACAATAATAAATTACGCAAGAATATATTATAATATATAATAATATAAATATAAATAAATTTAGTTAATTTTGAACGTTTCGACTCCGTTTTGAGCCATCTTCAGCAGAAAAATATTAAATATTCCGGTGAAAAAATATGTAACTGAATTATGAATCGCAAAGTCATATTTCAAGCGTTTCCATATGCAAATTGTGTAGACTATGTAGTAAGATGAGACCATTCTTAACATTATCAAATATTAGGTCTGTTTTTTTATTACTGCGTTTTTCTGAACTTAAGTGAAGACTCCATTCTAAGAATTACTTCACTTAGAAACCGTTGTGTCAAGACATATATTGCAAGGGATATTCTCGAAAGTTATCATTATTTTATTAGTATGACTGTCTGTTACGAAAACTTTTATTTTGTTATCTAAGTATTTTATTTATGTAATGGAATGCGACACTTATATTGATTCTAATAGTCTGCCAACTATTGGGAAACTTACGCATTACATGAAGAAATTGATTGCGGAATAAGAACTTGTATTATGGATAATTCTTGAAAAAACTGAATTGAAGAAATTGATTGCGGAATAAGAAATTGTTATTATGGATAATTCTTTCTGAGGATGGCTCAAAGAGAGTCGAAGCGTCAATTTTCTATATTGCACTCGTTGAAATCAAATCAAGGTTTATGTAATAAACTAAATAAATATAAGATAATCGCACAAATAACTGCGTTGACTCCCACAGCCGTTATTATTATTTTTTATTAATTTAAATATGTGGAG